TCGATAAGAATGGAGACTGTTTCATTTAATAAGTATTTTGTTTTGATATGTAAGTTGTTCTGGTTTTTTTATCCAAAAAAAGCGACATTAATTTCTTGACGACCTAATATTTTTTTGAGTTGCATGTGTTGTGAGTTTAGTTGTTTTCGGATTTGACACTAGGGGAACATCCATCTAAACAGACTTACATTCTGGTTTACTAGAAGTTATGAGTCTTAAAAACAATCAAAAAACAGAAGTTATATTTTGTTATTCCAAGTTTCACTTTCTTCACTCGTGGATTTTATATTGTGCTTTATTTAAATATAAATAAAATATTTAACTAGAACACAGGTATTAGAATTAATTTCGAGACGATTAAAGAATTGTTTTGTGTGTGTGCATGCGTGCACTGATCAGATGACATTTAAACTTCAAGGATATATCGTTACCAGTAGTTTTGCAGTTTAAGTTCTTATCTCTCTGCAAAAGAGCTGTATAATGTTATATGAATAGTTTGTCAAGTATTTTCAACCTTATTTCCTCGTACATTTTCTACAATACTTTTTCTTGGCGTGTAAAGATGAATCGGTCAAGGTATATATATATATATGGTAATATGTATGACCTAATTACCGCAAATGAAAAGTTTTGTATGTTGGACTCTGGTAACCTCGTAAATTTGGCGCTGTCTTGATAAGAATTCCTTTTCGCGTTTTTTGGATTTGCGACAATTTTATTTGTATTAAGTCATAATTCTCAAAACAGTATGATTGTCTCTAACTTATACTTAAACCAATTACTGAAATACCTGATTCGGGAAACCTTGTATATATATATATATAATGTTCAATGAATTAAGAAAAAGAACCATCTTGAGTTTGAGCTTATAATTCAAACTAATGATAAATTACATTCAAATCAAATTAAACAACCACGCATTTTAGCCAAGAATAAATCGCATATTTAATCCAATGATATATGACAATACAGGGCGCCCTTTTTGTAATTTCATAAAACATATGATTGAAGTAGCTAATACTTTTCCCCTGGTTGAGAATTTTAACTTATTAGCATGGAATGCTTTGTTTATAGTTTGAGAGAAACAGTTTGTGATGTGAGAAACTGTTTGTATAGAATCACTGTTAGATATTTTCTTGGAGTGCACCCATTATGTCGATGACGAGCATATTACGTTTTCGTGACTTGTTGATTTTAGATAACTTTGACGGCAAGTGCATGGTACTTTAATGAACCGGTTTATGTAACATGATCCTCAAACATGCCACTCTTGCACTTGACCTTGTGGTCTAACAGAACAGCTGATTGTACGGTGATATTTGAGTGTTTCCTGCATGACCTTCAAGTGTTTGTTTACGATAAAATATGGGGCTAAAACTTGGAGTCAAGATAAATTTAATTTATATAGTAATAATAGTACTGAATCGTGTTTTATCTCTCTTGTAACTTTGTCTGACCAATACTGGGTTATTTTTAAACATGGAAAACTTGAGTTTTAACATAAATTAAAGCTTAATTTTAACTTTGTCTGACCAATACTTGGTTACTTTTAAACATGGAAAACTGAATTTTAACATAAATTAAAGTTTACTTTTAACTTTGTCTGACCAATACTGGGTTATTTTTAAACATGGAAAACTGAGTTTTAACATAAATTAAAGCTAACTTTTAACTTTGTCTGACCAATACTGGGTTATTTTTAAACATGGAAAACTGAATTTTGACATAAATTAAAGCTTACTTTTAACTTTGTCTGACCAATACTTGGTTACTTTTAAACATGTAAAACTGAATTTTGAGATAAGTTAACGCTTGCGTTTAACTGATTCTATTTGGACTTTATTGTAATTAGAAGGAATTATTTATTCTTCAAAACTCTTAAGATAGCCATCATAATGGGTATTTGAACGCTCTTGGTTTTTTAATTCTTATTGGGATTGTGTGTCTCAAGGACTAATTGATCAAAGTAATTTAGTGTTCA